AACGCGTGCCGGCTGGGAAGTTTCCCGAAATCTTATTCGTGCCAGTCGATTTTGAGGTCGGATAATTGCAAGGTTTCCTACAATTTCTGGAAAACATAACGTACTGGTTATGATACCAGCACCAGTCGGGATTGTCTGTCCCTAATTAAAGAATAACTAATAAAGAATAACAATGAATAATAATATTCCAAAATGGAACAGACTCACAGTGTATTGACTTGGTGTACCAGATCACGTCGGGTTCACCAATGAAGGTGCAACGGATGTTCTAATTTTACAACTAGTTACCAGTAGCACCTTCTATGTTCGATCGTTCCCAGTCAGATAGAAATCAGAAGTCAGACGAGAAGAGGCAGGAAAGATATATTTGATTCGTTACCAATATATCGAGGACCTTTTCTATAAGCTGGCTAATGAAACGTAGGAGCTGTGTCCCACGCCGTGTTGAAACGTGATCTGGTGCGGATGCATGACCGAAAGCCTTCAGTTAAACAAGTCCACTTAAACAACATGGTCAGCATCCAATGTCGAACACTTAATGAGCTATTGATTTTGGGGAATTATTTACAGCTACAATCCCATAGTAACATAATGTGTCTATGCCTGCTCGGTCGAGCCATTTCATCTTTACCATGTGTTTCTGCTTTTATTTTTTCTGACGTTCACCAATTCTTTGACGGCAGATATGATTCATTTTTATTGTCTGTTTAGTTCCAAAGATTATGTGGTTATGAATGAATAGCATTACAGTCTGTGTGAAAATGCAAAATGCTGTATTATTGTGCCGAAATGTGTTAAAATAAGTTATAAGTTCTTCGAGGTAGCAACTTTTAAACCTAATAAATCGAACTGTCCTCAATTACTGCGTCATCAATGTTGGTCAAGATGATGAGCCACGGTGTCACTCAAGGAAGCTAGGCGGAGTGATGAGTTTCCAAATGCAGTAAAAATATTTGTCATAGAATTTAAATCACAGCTCTCTGACTATATGTGCACCTTTTAGAAGTTAAAGTCTATCGCTTTCACGGCTGATTTTATCCCTTTCGACTATCTTAATGCACTTACAACAATCTGATTTTGTCTGTAACCTGGCATACGTCATGTAACTTATTATTATCTGTGAGTGAATTGTTATCAATATTAATTTATTCCTGTTGGTAACTTCTCGTTTATTACCAGGTACGTATCCATTTCTTACAGTATTTATTTAATTCTCAGAAAACTACTTTTATATCCCCAGCGTAACCATCCATATCACAGTCGCCCACTTTACAAAGATGTAAGTTTTAGAGACGCTTATTTTTCTGCGTAGTCTTGATATTTAATTAGCATTTTGGCCATAACATTGATACCACTTCAGAGCTGTTGCTAACGCCGAGAAACGTTGGAATGTTGTTTGTCTGCAGATATGTGTCTACTGACGAAATCTTTGGAGGATGCATTTGGCCACTTGGTGCTGTATATACAGTCATGGTTGCTAGTATAACAGCCGGGAATTCGGAAAAATAGGTGTGATATGAAGTCAGGCTGGATTTAATGAAATTTCTATGGTCATCGTGTAAGCTAAGATTACTCCTTATTACGGCTCACTTGATTAAGCCATCACAGATCAATGGGACAGGATCATTATAAGCCATCTACGCCAACTCTCGCTTATGTTATGGTACGGAAACTAGTGTTACATTTTCGAAGTTCTTCTATGTCTAAAAGGGACATAAATGTGGCGGTCATTTATGCTTATTACCGTTTTCGCTATGACTCTAGAAACAAAGTGCACAGATAAGGGTCAAAGTGTGAAATTGTCTATATCATAAATTTATCGAAACGGCGAATTGTTTGCATATGGTATTGCATTCTTTTCACAGGTTTGTATGCAACTTGCTGTTGGACTAAACTTTTCAGCTAAACTCATAAAAACTTAATAATGTTGTGATAGGAAGTTGATTTCAAATAAATTCTTTCATACAAAGTTTCCGGTACTTGTGTTATTTTACAGGTTCATAGACACTTTTATTACATGTATGATTCTAATTTTCACCAGAATAATTGGTTAGTACAGCATTGTTGGTTACTCATTATCTATTTAAAACTGGATGATTTCGTTAAATCAAGACACTCCAAGCGATTCGTCATATTTACTATTTCTATACACTATTGATTCCTGTTTAAACTAAATTTCTCTTCATTACGAATACATTGGGCACAGTGAACTCCAGTTAATTTCTAATTTGGTCTTTGTCAGTGAAAGCCTGTTTATAAGGGATTGGAAATTTGTTGGTCGTGGAAGTGCGAAGTACATTTCTCGATTGTTCTTCAGCTATCTGAGGACGACTGTACAAGTTATAATGTCAGATTTTGAAAGTATTTAGAGGGAACTTTGATTATGTCTTTTAAGTTTACTGTGTTAACTGACTGTTGTTATTAACCAGCTGGCCGTTCCTATCATTTTAAAAGTTCTCATTAGAAGTTACTCAAAGGTTGCAGGAAACGAACTAAAATGACTGTAAACCTCCCTGTTGGTGATAAATGGACAGTACAACTCCAAAGCATCAAAAACGAGTGTTGTAACAACCGACAGTAAAGATAATTTGGAATACGAAACGATGACATACAAAAAAATTCGTTGTTACTGCATTAAATGACAACATTGTGTGTATAAATAGGCTATACGAATTTTTGTAAAGATTAGAGCAAACAGATTGACTAAAATCGAGCGGCGAATATAAAGAAGTCATTATACATGATAATTATATTATTTATAATCTCAGCAATTGAAGTTTAAGTAATTCCAACGTTTCGTCCAGACAAGTTAGGTGAACGAACTGTTGGAACTATTTAAAATTCAATCTCTGAGGTTGTTTCAAATATAATTATCATGTATAATGACTTCTTTATATTCGCCGCTCAATTTTAGTCAATCTGTTTGCTCTAATCTTTACAAAAATTCGTATAGCCTATTTATATACACAATGTCGTCATTTAATGCAGTAACGACGAAATTTTTTTATATGTTTAGGAGTGCTGAAGAGTACAGTAATAGGTATGCAGTGAGCATTCAGGGATGGTCAAATACACACTACGACCAGAGTATACAATCGACCCGATGATGGTAAAAAAATGTTAGGGTCATTATCGAGAACTGAAATCAGCCATAATGTAAGAATGCTATTTAGCAAATCCGATCGGGAAATTTTGTACATAAATCCAACAGCTGCTATATCAAATCTGATTAGTTCGTCCAAAAATTATAATTCAGCCCTATGGCCACTCATCCAGAAGACTTAATTACCAGCCATCTGATCATGGAGGTGGACATATTGCATGTACCTGTCTCCCATAGACTCAATCAATAAAAATACAGACTAATGCCCGACGAAACTTTTGTTGTCACAGTGAGAAGGTCTGTACCCTTCTTCGTAATAGAAAAAAACGATGTGAAAGAGATTTATGTTGGTAGGTACTGAAAAGGCAAAATCCCAACACCAAGAAGCTCTAAATATTTGTGCCTTGAATTTTCTTTAGGCTAAAAGATTGTATGAAGAAAAGCTTGTTAAGAAATCTATAGAATACCCGAAGTGCTTATATTCGTACATAAACCGAAAGACCGATAAAAAAGCAGCAGCCTAGAATAATGGGGAAGGAGTTGGAGTACATTATTTGCTAATGATGATTATGATAAAGCTCTACATGACGAGTCCTGACTTTAAGAATGGTACGAGACACAAACCTTTAAACCTGTTGCCACCGAATCTAAACAGCGTGGATGGATTCTGGAAAAAAATTATTCAGAAAGTTGTTATATAATTTGGACGAAAACCAGATGTTGCCTGAAAATCAGCACAGGTTATTTTGTTTTTGGCGAATTTGTTAGCCGTGTTTGAAAGTTCATGCTCTTTTAAAAATTTCAAACTATCTACATGGAGCCTATATTGCCTTCAGTAAAGCTTTTTATAAAGTTCCACACAGAAGCGTCTTAGTTGAGCGTAATAAAGGGTGCACGTAGTCTGGATCAAAAACTATGCTCAATGAAGTGCATGGAAGTACAACTTTGAGACCAGAGTTGTTCCTCATTGGTGTAAGTGATCTTCCTAGTCTCTTATCATAATCAGTTTTGTTATGTCCTGACAACATCAGGATATGGAGAGCTCTTAAAAATGAAGATGATAGTTCGGAGCTTCGAAATGACATTGCGAAATTATCTGTATGGTCTAGAATATCTCAGTGGCCAACTAATGCTTCTAGGTGCATCATAGTCCATCTTAGTCCACAAGGTACGAATGCATACATAGTGAATAACGTTGAGTCACAAGTTGTTCAGACTCACGCTGACCTAAGATTCATCGATACCTGAAACTTGAAACAACTGCAATGGCTTGCAAAAGCTCTCACCTCTTCTGGCCTGTACAATGGGTCTTTCACTGTGATGATGTTAAGACCTTCTATGCCAATTAAAGTGTTCGAGTGTGGGAAAAAAGCGCTCAACCCCTTTCTAAACGAAAATAGCGATATGTGAGAAGAAGTCCAAAGAACCTTGAATTGATTAATTCCTGAAATCACAGAGCTGCTGTATAATGAGAGACTGACCAAACTTGTCAAATCGAAAGATTAGAAGTGACTTGATCCCAGATTTCAAATTACTTAATCACAAATTCGCAACGAGTATACCCTCTTTTTCCCTGCCTTCCAAAACAAACGAACTGTGAGAGCACCTTCAAAGAGCTCATAGGCTCAGGATAAATTACTTTTCAGCGGACTACAGACTCCCTATGAACTATTAACTAATGTATTTCATTATCTGGATACATGATTGAAGGCCCATCTGTGAAAGCTTTCAAAAGAAAGAGAGATCAGCTGAGAGACCACGACTGCCAGGAACAACACAGGCCACCCATGAGTCTCGTTCTTGTAAATCTGAAAATGGTTTTTAAACTAGCAACTGTCTATAGTTTATCTAAATTGTTAAGGTCGTCCGCGCAACTCGGTCTTAGCGCGTCAAAGTTATGAACCGAATCTTCGGACAGGCTAAACCGAAACAACCCCCTCCGAATTTGACTGATGTGATTTCCAATGTAATTGCGTCAAAATCTGAATGTTTGATGTTCTAGGTGGATAGCCGAGCAGAGTCTGTGGATAAAAAAATCGATAAACTGGATGAGGAACTAAAAAAATATAAACTACAAATGCAAAAGATGAGAGACGGTCCTGCAAAAGAGAGCGTCAAGATGAAAGCTCTAAGAATTTTGAAGCAAAAGAAGGTTTATGAAAATCAGAAAGAACAACTTTACAACCAAAGTTTTAATATAGAACAAACTAATTTTGCAATCCAGACGGTGCGTGATACCAAGGTTACAGTGGATGCCATGAAAGTCGGTGCCAAGGAATTAAAAATGGAAATGAAAAAAATTAACCTAAATAGTGTAGAAGTAAGTTCGCCCGTGTGAATATATCTGGTACGAACTACAATTTAGTCTAGTCTATAAAAATCTCTGTAGGAAGCAGCACTTTTATGATCACAATAGTGTGTCAATAGTTTATTCATTAATTTTGTATCTGAGGCATTTGCTTGTCGACAAAAGCCAATCTACTCTGTTCGTATCAAACTGGGATTGACATAAGACCATTCTATTCATACTTTTTTGAACCTCCCCTTTTAACGTCAATCGAACTAAACGATATTTCGCCAACACCACATATGCTCTTTCTTTAAATGACCTAAATCTAACACAGACTGTATGAGTAAGTGATAGAAGTACGAACCTGACGAAAATTTTTTTGGGCTCCTGTTCGACTGATATCAAAGTTGTTAGGATATATAACATTCAAATAAGACTTCTAGAGATTGGGCCTGACAAATAAAAATATTGGATCTATCATAAAGAATTACGAGTATTAATTGCCAAACTTCACATCACACCTAAGAGAAGTCAGCAAAATTATTGTAGAATTATAAGCAGTAAGCTAGGAAGGTTATAAAACCAAACAACTCAAGTATCTGAAATACATTTTGTAAGAGTCAGGTCACGAATTGCATTTATATGTGATCCTCGGTTCATTGAAGTCTGGTTGAAAAAACAGTAGGTTGACTGACTAAAACATTAGGCCAACTTTTCGAGTTCCTGGCTATTAGTCCGAGACTTCAGAAAGTTCAGTTTCCGTATTATATCTTCAAAGTGCCCCTGACCGTTGCTGCTACCTTGACGTGGTGATAGGGCTTGCCTATCGTGAAAAATCGATTGGGCTATGCTGACTGGAATAGTCGTTCCCCAAGATCCTAACATACCACGTAGGTCGGTTGAAGAGTGGTAAGACTGAACAACAAACCTAAAGTCTGAGGGCAGAGTCGTACTGATGATTGTACAGAAGTGTGACAGCAGTAAGGTGTTTCCCTCAGAAAACCAACATAACAAGGGTTCTGCCTTCCCACAAATGGAGGGTGGGTTTATAAAAAATCGACCCTAAAAATGCACATCCCGCCTTATCCCACGGATATCCGTCTCCGGAGGTAAGGTCTCAACAAGTACTGAGCTAACACGAAAATTACGTACAAAATGGTCGCATGTGACGGACCTCAATCAGTTGTCCCTTGGTCACTGCGGTCACGCTCTTAGATCACTAAAACCAGCCCCAAACCTCTATAAAAGAACCGCTCCACGATGTAGGCAACTAGAAGTGATGACCAATTTCGTACCTCTAACAACATTCAAGACTACTGTATTCATTATCAATTTCCAAAAACCACCATAAATTGACTAATACAATGAATATAAAGTGGCCTCATACTGAGTGAATAAGTACGAAAATGATATACTTTGTCAATGAACGAAATTCAATTTAAAATATACGATATATTCACAGGAACGACCATTCCAGTCAGTATAGCCCGATCGGTTTTTCACAATAGGCAAACCATATCACCACGTTAAGGTAGCGGAAACGGTCTGGTCACAATATAATATACTTTTCTGGACCAGGGTAATTTTACATCAGTTTTCAGGAGAAGCAGACACCATCCAAATGTTCACATTGCGACAAACTGTACAGGTTATTCCTTTTTTACAGGGGAACCAGACACCAAGCAGTCCTATATCGTAGATGACTGATTTTGCTTTTCATGAAGGACTGCTCATTTTTGATAAATTCTGTAATTAATAATCATTGAACTTAATCCCTATAAAACTGGATTTAATTGAATTAAAGTCAGTTTTCTTGAAGTCTTCAGTAATATCTCTTCCTTAAAGGAATTCTTTGTCTTTTATCTTGGATAGGACCGTCAATAAAGTGTTTATTAGTTCGCTGATCTGTGCAGCACGCACAGATGCTCTTTTATAATGCAAGAATCTCCCGATCGTTCGTAACCAGAAATCACTGTAGTCATTCCCTAACACAAAATTCTAGCTACTATTAACATCTACTTCAATATCTTTCTGTCTTTCAATCTTTTCTGTTGTACTCTCAAATTTTTCAACTTATGTCAATATGACTTTTCAGTGGGTTTCTGGAGTGGTAAGTTTTTCTTTGACATCGAAGACTGTGATAGATGTAGTCGAAAACTAAAAGGCAAAGACGAAAACAGTCGGTAGCAAAAGATGTAGATTGATACTGTGAAAATTAATTCACTCATATCATTTCGACCGACTATGAGCTTCATTACTTAGTTCTATAATCAGTGTATATGGCTGTCTGACACCAATTGAAAATATTAAACCTGTCAAGACTTAATACTGAGTTTGTCCACTAACTAATTTTCTCTATTGACCTGACATTTCTCAAGGTTTTGTATGATTTACTATCTCCCTTTGTCTTTCATATCTGATATTATGGTGAGAAATATTATAAAGAAATAAATGTAAATAGTATGTTTGCTCTAGCTTTTGCATAGTATATGCTACGGTCTATGAATCTACCTTGACTAACGTATTCTAACATCAAGTTGACACTTCTAAATCTCATTTAAAGTAACATGATTTGGTGACTAATGATTAACTAGGAGCATTATCATCCAGAAGACTAGTTAGAGAATAACCGTCCTCAACCAAACGCATCGGAAAATTATAGTGTAGTTCATCAATCTCCGATGAACACTCGTATGCATGTTTGTGAACCACATATTACATGACGACAATTGCAGTTTGCTTGATCAAATTAAATTATCGGGGCCTATGTTCAGTTTATCATTTTTTAATCAATTAGTCAAACTCTTCGTAATAGGAACTAGTGTTTTGAAAGTATATAATTTTGCTTTCAAGTTTCTATGCACAAAAATATCTTCATTAATGCGGAAGTACTATCGGTTTCCACCAAATTTTTCAGTCCGTTTTTGTTCAAGCATACCCGACATGCCACACTAAACGTACTGGTAGTATGTAAATGAAAAAGTGAATGATTGATATTCAGATTAAACGTAAGGCTATGTGAAACTATGTAAAAGTATTAAACAGCTGGATAATATTTTCACGTTTCCTTTAAGCAGTGATCTTTTCAATGCTCGTTTCGATGTTTATTTTGAAATTATGGAGATTATTTTCGTTATCATTTACTAGTTGTGTTAAGTTTTAATCGACGTTTTAATATTGTATGGTGCACTTAGGTCTTAAATCTTTCCTTTCATTATTTTTCAACAGGACCTTCAAGACGATTTAGCTGATCTACTCGTCTCAACTGATGAACTACAAAATATTCTCAGTCAATCCTATGCGACACCAGATATAAATGAAAATGATTTGGAACAAGAATTGATGGGTCTGTGTGATGAGCTAGGTTCTGATACAACGTATTTAAATGAAGACTTTAACGCACCTTCTGTTCCAACCGGGATTCCTGGAGATAGTTTACCAACTCCAGCCACGGGTACTATGCCGTCTGTTGTAAGTTATTGGGTTGAATTCCTCATTATAAGGATTTTCGTTTTTGGACTTGAATGATATCAGAAAGCACTACTAATCATGTATATTTTTAGTTGAACTACCAAACGTGATATAATTTCATTAAAATGAGGTTTTATGACCCAGCTAAATGTTTCTGCGTTCGGTAGTTGGGACTGGTTTACTACTTGGCAGCAGGTAAAGCAACATTGATAATAATTCAGCAGAACTACCCAGTGTATTTTTTGCCAAATAAATTAGATACTACTGTACTAGTGTGATTAGTTATTTCACCCTTTTATCAGTTTTTTTAATGAACCATATCTGTTTTGTCTGAACAATTTTGTCCATGATGCCCATTGTTTTAGGCTCCTACGAGTATCCAATAGTAATTTGAGTTTCTGTCGGATAATCTTAGCACACGTTTGTCGTTATATTTCCATCGAATTAATTAATAACCTTAAAAAATAAACATCTTATCAGCAACATTCGCAAATTGCAAAAGATCTCTTTATAATGAAAAGCGAATTGAAAGTTAAGTACAGTAGCTCACTTAATCGTTCATTATTTCGTTTTGGGAAAGACAGACATTACTGTGGATCTAAAGTACTTATCAGCGCCTGAACTAATGGTAAGATATCGAGTACTTAAGTGTGTCAGTCGCTCCAATTATCTCCAGAATTTCAACAGCCCTAGTGGTTTGGTGTCTGACTAAATCTTAGCACGAATCCAGAGACTTCGGTCAGCTTTTGCCAACTTGTGGCGTAGTAGGGATCCGTATGCCAATCAAAGGATAAACTTACTGTCCATCGGTTCGTTCTCGTCTACATAATGGCTTCGAAAGTTAGCCTTTAAATTTAGAGAATATTCATAGATTGCTAATGTTCGGTCATCAATGTCTTCGAACAGTCACTCGTATATTTCGGAACTATCCAATTACCAATCTTACGATTAGACGTAGAGTACCAGATCTGAGAAATCGACTAACGAAGTAGTGAGCTATTATTAACCAAGAAATGTATTCCAATCCACTGACTACCTCGATGATGGCTGAAGTAGGAGTAGGTTGGAAACAAGCTAGGATCAACCAAACAAATACATCTCATCTGTCCATAAAGACATTGACTATTGGGCTAAACCGTGTAGATGGGTACAGACTGTCTAGTGGAGTTTTTTTCTCTGAGCTGGATGGTCTGGTCGTGGAGCTCCCATCGTTCTTCTGAACGACATCATCAGCACAAACTTCAAGCAGAAGTGAAGTGTTAGAATCTCTCTACATACGACTCACAGCTTGTCCTGTAGACCTCGATCTTGATTGGTTATTGTTGACCCTTAACCTGTCATTGTTTACTTCTCTATTTGAATTGTATCTCCCATTGATTTGATTCACGGTCATATATTTGTCCACAATGTTTCTGATTGGTTGATAGACTGGATCAATTCCAATGTTTGTTGATTGACCCGAGTGCCAAGCTTGTGAAAATTCTCTGGTGTTTTTACTATTTCCTCTACCCAAGATCCCTACATTTTACCAGTCGAATGTATCTTATGCAAACCAAAGGACGAAATGACAAAAGAAGAAAAGCCAAACATCATCTACAGAATAAATTGTTCCAACTGCAAGAATCACTACATCAGATAAAGTAGATGCCCTCTTCATCTTCGCCTGCACGAACATCAATTAGCGGTCAAACGCCATGACATGCTTTGGATTATATCAATGCAAGTGGACAACTGTGGACATACATTCGACTGGTAAAATGTAGGGATCTTGGGTAGAGGAAATAGTAAAAACACCAGAGAATTTTCACAAGCTTGGCACTCGGGTCAATCAACAAACATTGGAATCGATCCAGTCTATCAACCAATCAGAAACATTGTGGACAAATATATGACCGTGAATCAAATCAATGGGAGATACAATTCGAATAGAGAAGTAAACAATGACAGGTTAAGGGTCAACAATAACCAATCAAGATTGAGGTCTACAGGACAAGCTGTGAGTCGTATGTAGAGAGATTCTAACACTTCACTTCTGCTTGAAGTTTGTGCTGATGATGTCGTTCAGAAGAACGATGGGAGCTCCACGACCAGACCATCCAGCTCAGAGAAAAAAACTCCACTAGACAGTCTGTACCCATCTACACGGTTTAGCCCAATAGTCAATGTCTTTATGGACAGATGAGATGTATTTGTTTGGTTGATCCTAGCTTGTTTCCAACCTACTCCTACTTCAGCCATCATCGAGGTAGATTCTTTCCACCGCCTCACAGACTATCCGATGTGGGTCCGGGTGACTCCCATTATCAATGGTTAGAGATTCTGGGCAATGGCTCAAAACTGTTCTGAATGGGAGAGGTGATTCACTCTTTACCTTCCTTTAAATCTTAAGTTTCTAAATCTCTTACAATTTATTTTGTGTCGCCTACTTCTATTTTCTTGAATCATATCTTACTACTTCCATTACTCTGGGATTTACCCAAACAATTTGTGGTTGTGTTGATGTGGTAATTTGAACCGGTCTACACATGTGCCAGGTTCTACGTTGTGCCTGACTAGAAATGCGCAATTCAGCAACATATGTTTAAGCCTTCCCTGTAGCCTCTGATAACACACACCAAAGATAGAAAAATACTCCATGTGTTAGGTTACTAGAGAAGTCCAAACTGTGGAACAACAATATCCAAAATTAATTAAGTTTTTGTTACGGTTTTTGATTTCATTGGTGATTTCACTGTTTAAAATCTACTACAAATCATCGAAACAGTTAATAATTCATCATTTTTCCATGTTATTGAATATCAAATTTACTACCTGCCTTTCATTGGGTAATTACGTATTCCGTTTTCTATTGTCCTAATTTTTTTTTGTAGTCAAATATCAAACTGGACGAATTTGGTTTGCCTCAGATTTCTTGAATCACAATTTTCTTCACTGAAACGACACTTATTTCTTGATTTATTTCAGAAGTGTACTGTTCTCCAATAAAGTATTGTATTCACTTTTGCTTATAATAGTATCTTATCTGTAATGATTTTTTTATTTCTTTTGTCATTTGTTGTCAAGAGCTATATCAGTGGACGAATTCGTCACAGAATGTTCCGTCATTCATTAGTATTGTAGTATTCTAATTTTATCGGTGATACAGCTTTGACAGAGAGGAACAAGCGGGTGTCGATAAATCCTCATTTCAACTCATTGTATCCTCATAACATGTTTCATTGATATTTACTAAATTCAGTTCCTATTTCAATAACTGAATTGATATGATATACATTAGGTGTTTTAAAATTTCCTGAAAGTCGAAGTAATACAAACTGTTTATGAACAATGTCGAAACAAAATTCCTTCAAACCAGAATGCAAGCCTATTTGATTGAATACATTTCACTTTAGTTAGGACTGAGGGACTAAGTGAAAATTTGAAACGTAAGGATGCGTTACTTGAGGGTTTAGCATGTTTACTTCTAGTCTCTATTTAGTTAACAACTAGGTCATAGTAATTTTACACTATCTTAAGTGTAAGCTTCCATCTGGCCTACAGAGTTTAATGTATCTTTTTGCATTTATAAATTACTGATAGGTAATTACAAATGTTTCAATTATATGCGTATTGAGATTTATTGTATTTTGTGTATGTCATCGGATGAATCTGAAAGTATGAATGGTACAAATAATACGAGATATTTGGTTATTAGTCACGCTGTTGTAATGACTAGTTTCGGGAACAGGATAGAGTACTCCTTGAGTCGTTGATCACTTAAGATACAGTAAACAGCATTAGTGAATTCACTGAAAATAGTCCAATGCCTCTTCTGATGAAAAGAGTTACAATTAATATAGGCACATGGAATGTCCACACAGTGTGTGAGACAGGGAGAACCAATCAAATATTTACGGAAATGAGGAGATACAACTTGACAGTACTCGGAGTCAGCGAAACCCATTGAACCCAAGCTGGACACCAAAGGCCAGATACGGAAGAGGTGCTGCTCTACTCCAGTCACGAAGGGGAAAATGCTCCACACACTCATGGAGTTGCTCTAATGCTGTCCAGAGAAGCACGAAACGTACTTGTAGGATGAGAATCTCATGGACCTAGAATCGTCGCATCGCCCCCAAATGCCCCGGTACGGCGGAGAGTGGGGAGAGTCCTCTCCCTCTCCAAATGCTCTCACATGGCCAGCGAATATATAGCCTCTGCCAGGGAAGTCCTACTCACTGCCTTCTCGTGGCGGGGGTGTTGTTTACGAAATTGAGAGGACGAAAAGCGAATGTACGGAGCTTTAACCGGGTTGGTGGACAAGGCGAGTCCATCTAGGGTAGTTGGAAAACCTTGATTCCAAACCAATGGTGCACATGGGCTCCAGTATCCTGAGGGAACAAATGGCGTACGAATCAATCGTTGGTCACCGGCTACCATGGGACTGCATCTCCTCACGATGATCCACTGCCTTGTGGATCAGATCTTTCGGTCAAAGGCTCGGGGTGTGGTCCCCTAAGAAAACCACCTGCTTCAGTTTGGGCACCTGGGCAGTATCACAGCCCTCAAGCAAATCGAATGAAATTTGTATGGCGCATATGTATTTGGTGTTTCCTTGTACCAATATTTATGTGTTTAAATAAATAATAAACATCAAAACATCACTCAAAACAAATTGGTAGGGAATCACAATGAATGTCGTTCAGTGGTATGTACCTACCAATGATAGCGGTGACGACGACAAAGATCGGTTATATGAGAGGCTGCAATCAATCATAGCGAAGTGCCCAAGAAAGGACCTCACTATCCTGATGGGAGACCTAAACGCCAAAGTCGGAGTGGACAACACCGGATATGAAGATAGAATGGAACGACATGGACTGGGAGAGATTTGAAAATCTATGTGCATTCAACAAATTGGTTATAGGCGGCACAATATTCCCTTACAAACACATACACAAAGTCACATGGGTCTCAACAGATTACACTGCAGAAAATCAGATCGATCATATATGCATCAGCAAAAAAATTCGGAAGGTTGATGGAAGACGTGGGAACCAGGAGAGAAGCTGAGATAGCTTCAGGTCACCACCAACCGGTGGTTGCCAATATGAGACTGAAACGGAAGAAGCACTGAACAAATGGAGAGACAGCAGTACAGAGCCTTAATACAGCCTTCCTTCAAGATAATGAAAAAGTCGGCGGATTCAAGATGGCCCTCAACAACAGTTTACAATCTTTGAAAGATCTACTCAAAGAAGAGGAAATTATCATGAAGGACAACTGGAAAGGGATCAAAGTAGCATTAACTTCAACGCGTCAGGAGGTGCCGGGCCGCGAGAAGCATCATCGTAAGGAATGTATCTTCATCGAAACCCTGAACAAAATTCAAGAAAGAAAGAACAAGAAGACTTTAATGAACAACAGCCGAACAGGAACAGGCAAAGTCAAGGTACAAGCTGAATACACAGGAGCAAACAAGCAAGTGAAGAAGAGCTTTAGAGCTAACAAGCAGAAATGCGTGGAAGATCTAGCAACGACAGCGGAAAAAGCTGCAACAAAAGGAAATATGAGACAAATATATGACACAACGAAGAAACTGGTAGGGAAATACTGGATATTGGATATTTATATATGCAGATCTAAACAAAAGATTCCAGTTTGAAGTACTTACACGTGTTTTTAACATGACATTTGGAGTTTTGTCATTTGTGTGTTATCAAAATGTAATTGCATGTCTGACAGGAGGTGAGTGTCGACATAATATTCAACGAGTAAGGTAATTTTATGAACAAACAAAATCTGCCCAATTAATGGTTCTAAGAGTTGACGTCGAATACCAATGGTTTTAGACAAACATCTTTTGCAATGTTATTAACAAACACCCCGACCGTTGCTGCTACCTTGACGTGGTGGTCGGGCTTGTCTATCGTGATGAAGCAATCGAGCTATGTTGGCTGGAACAATCGTTCCTCGAGGTCCTACCATGCCAGACAGGTCGGTTGAAGAGCGGTGAGACTAAAAGCAGCAAACCCAAGGTCCGAAGGCGAAGTCGTACTGTCGACTGTACAGAGGTGTGACGGCAGTAAGGTGTTTCCTTCAGACAACCAGCATGACAGCGATGCTGCCTTCCCACAAGGAGGGGTGGGGTTAGAAAAGGTCGGCCCTAAAAATGCACACCTCGCCTTATCCCACGGATATCCGTCTCCGGCGGTAAGGTTTTTTTGAAGAACGGAGCTAACACAAAAAGGTCGTGTGTGACCGACCTCAAGCAGTTGTCCCTTGGGCACTGAGGTCACGCTCTCAGGTCATTAAGACCACTTCTAACCCAATTTCCTTTTCAGGTACCCCCAGGAGAACCCTTCCACGGTGTGGGCAACCGGGAAGTGATAACTGCCCTCATACCTCTAACAGCACTCAAGACCACTGTATTCATAATCAATCTTCTTCTTCAATTCCTACTATTCCCTCTACCTTGACTTTCAACACTAAACTTCCTGTTCCGGTTTCCTCCTCAAGTGTCACCATGGCCAACGATTCTAGTGCACGAAACGCTGTCCCAGGTCTACTTAAATCTCGCTCAAAACTACACATTGGAGCCTTCAACCTACGTACCCTATGCCAAATCGGTCAACAGGCCTCCTTGGCTAAAACCCTAGAATCTCGTACCATTGATGTATGCTATGTCTCCGAAACACGCATACAGGATCCCAGTGTGGTCATTCACTTGACCTCACCTCGCCAAAATGGACAGCCAATGAAATACACCCTCCGTGTATCTGGCGACCCGTTGGCTAGTTCTCGCGGACTTGCAGGTGTAGGCATAGCACTAAGTACAAGGGCAGAACAGGCACTATTAGAATGGATCCCCGTTAACAGTCGCCTGTGTGCTGTCCGGCTAAATGGCTCCGTAAGAACTCGGAAGGATAGAGACACACGTCGTTGCCTTTTCGTCGTTTCTGCCTACGCTCCCACCGACTGCAACCATGATGAAGTGAAAGATGACTTTTACAGAAAGCTCTCTGAGCTTCTTCAGAAAGCTAAGCGCTCAGACATAGTAGTCGTAGCGGGTGACTTTAATGCCCAGGTAGGCAGCTTGAATGAAACAGAAAGACATTTACGTGGGTATTTTAGTATTCCGGCTCAACGAACCGATAATGGTGATCGTCTGTTGCAACTATGCTCAGACAATCGTTTATTTTTAGCAAGCACTAATTTTAAACATAAGGAGAGACATCGTCTAACATGGCGACCACCTGCACCAAACCAACGATGGACTCAAATTGACCATATTGTCATCAGTCATCGTTGGAGAGGCTCAATAGAAGATTGTCGCTCGTTTTGGAATACTTGTTTAGACTCTGATCACGCTTTAATACGAGCGCGCATTTGTCTGCGCCTCAATGGACGCAGGAAAAGTACACTAAGAAGACCCATTAGGATTGAACTGGAGGATGAGAAAGCCAAATGCGAATTCCAGAAACAACTGAGTTCACATCTAGGCAGTTCTGTAAACAAGACTGACACAGATGCTGCTTGGAAAGACATACGAACAGCTGTAACATCTATTAGTCATTTAAACCATAGGGCTCCAAAAAACCAGTGGATTACTTCTAAGTCTATCTCACTGATGGATTCGCGTAAACTCATCCCATCAGGCTCTGAACATGACGAAGAGCGTAAAGAAATTAGATCTAGGTTAACTAAAAGTCTAAGGAACGATCGTGAGCAGTGGTGGGCAACGAAAGCAAAAGAGATGGAAAAGGCAGCGGCTGTAGGGAACACCAGGCAACTATTCAGACTAATAAAAGAAACCGGAATTAAGAAGTCAAGTGTAAGTGAGACAATCTCCGAAAAAGACGGAACCCTTATCTGCTCTCAACCCAAACGTTTAGAACGATGGGCGGAACACTTTAAGGAGCAGTTTAGCTGGCCTTCAGCTACTGCACAACTACCCACTATTCCTAGAAAACCTGAATGGAACATTGAATTAGGCCCCCCGACCCTACTTGAAGTTCAAAAGGCTATAGGTAATCTGAAACGAGGAAGAGCAGCTGGTCTAGATGGATTGGCTCCAGAGGTCTTTAAATATGGTGGTCCGATTTTAGCGATTAGGTTGACTAATATTCTGGCTAAAATCTGGGAGACGGATGTAATCCCATCCGACTGGTCACAATCACTGATTGTCGCAATATATAAAAAGGTGTCAAAATCATCCTGCGATAACCATAGAGGGATTAGTCTGACCAACATAGCATCTAAAATACTAGCCTCAATAATTATCGGGCGCCTAACTAAGACTCGTGAACTGCAAATACGAGAAAATCAGGCTGGCTTCAGACCTGGTCGTGGCTGTATCGACCACATATTCACCATTCGTCAAGTTTTAGAGCACAGACACGCTTATTGGCGTCCGACAATGATAGTTTTTCTTGACTTGAAGGCAGCATTTGACTCTGTAGACCGAGAGGTACTGTGGCAGTGTCTGTCATTGAAAGGTGTACCTGAGAAGTACATAAACCTTGTGAAGGCTCTTTACTCGAACACTACCAGTCGAGTGAGAGCTTATGGCGAACTGTCATATGATTTTACAACCTCAAGTGGTGCCCGACAAGGCTGTCCACTATCCCCATTTTCGTTTAACTTCATTATAGATCTGTTGCTGGAAATAACACTCTCTTCGACTGAATTTACAGGAATTGATCTCCTACCAGGGGGACCACTAAGCGACTTAGAATACGCAGATGACATAGTCCTGTTTGGTGAAGACGCTGGAAAAAAGGCAGTCTTCTGTTGGAACTCAGTAATAATGCCAGGATGTTTGGGATGCGATTCTCCCCATCCAAATGTAAATTGTTACTCCAGGACTGGCCTGCGTCAACACCCGAACTAAGGATAGGGAGTGAAGTAGTCGAACGCGTCGACAACTTCACTTATCTTGAAAGTCTGATCAGCCCTAATGGGTTGGTGTATGACGAAATCTCTTCACGGATTCAAAAAGCTCGTTTGGCTTTTGCCAACTTACGTCACCTATGGCGAAGACGAGATATCCGTCTATCAATTATGGGATGAGTATACTGCGCATCAGTTCTACTTTACGGTTGTGAAACATGGCCATGAAGTGTAGAAGATACTCGTAGGTTACTAGTATTTGACCACAGATGCCTTAGAAATATTGCTCGCATCTGCTGGGATAACCGGGTAAGTAATAGTGAGGTTAGACGAAGGGTATTAGGGAACGATGGTAAATCAGTTGATTAGGTCATGAATCTTCATCGACTGAGATGGTTGGGCCATGTGTTACGTATGCCTGAACACCGATTACCACGACGCGCTATGATGACTAGTGTAGGGGATGGTTGGAAGAGGGTTAGGGGCGGCCAAACCAAAACATGGCATCAGTGTTTGAAGTCACTAACTTCTAGTCTGAGCCATGTTGACAGATGCAGACTACCTGGTTGGGGTCAGCGTGACTATCGTAACCAATGGTTGGAGACTCTAGGTGACATGGCGTAGGTGTATACACTCTTTATCTTCCCTTAAACCTTAAGATTAAAATTGCTTCATAACGTTCTTCCTTCTTATAATATATCCTTATATACAACCTATAATTTATATACTACTACCACCACTACATTAATTACTTCTATGAATCCGGTGTTCATCTTGTTGTGCTAACGAGGTATGGTAACTTGGACCGATGCATAAATGTGCCTGGTCCTACGTTGTAGCTGACTGATTAACAAATACAATCTAGCAGTTGTACAAGTATGATTTGTGAGAAATATCCAAACATTATGAAGTTAGTGATAATTGACTTTAACAACTTGTTTACTCACAATATTTCCCCCATCGTTTCATTGCTAATGAGATTGTATTAGCGCACTCATGGCCTGAATTATATACAAACACTTGTCACTAATTAGTAGGTGGTACTCAAATCTACTTCTTATTGGTGGTCGAAATTCATTTTAAGTGTCTTTTAGTTTAGCTATACGGTATAATGTCATATAGATTTATAGTAGTTTAATTAATATTCTGATGTTTGTTCGCTCAGAAAGCTCAATACATATAATTCCTTAGTAGTCTGTCTTTGAATTCCCAATATACCAGTGTAAAATCGTGATGAATGTGTATATTTGATTACTAAACTCGGAAACTTCATATATGTAGTGACTACATAAATCCCCTGACGACGATGACAATCATGTGATTTAAAAATAATATACTACCAAGAAAGGAAATCGTATTTAGAATTCTAAAAATAAAATCCTGGCTGTGCGTAATAGGTGCAGACGATTGTATATCTGATTTAATAATCTTATTGGGAAGCCTATCGTTTAAAAGCTCTTATCAAGAGCTGTACTCTTGTGAAGAGTGCTTGTAGACAACTACATTTGGGTTACAAATGACTGCTGGGCTATTCCAGTGCATATAAAAGCACCAATCGGACACAAAATAGTCCAATGAGTATGTGTGCAGAAATTCATGTTACGTAATTCAAGGTATGTCAGTCTTATACTTTCCATCTACGGAAATACGCTTATCCCACCTACTTTTCATTTGTTCCAAAGGTTTCTGGAAATCCTGAGAATCCAGACCCTAGCTACTAACTTCTCTCATGCTTTTTCCAACACCGAACGTCTTGTTAGGGTCGTGCATACATCTGATTCTACAAGAGTCCATTTATTTCCAATCATCTAAACAGTCAACCAGCTGTTGGAAGGCATGAGAGTAAACTTTTCATCATCATATATCGATAGCTGCTTTTACTTTTATTCAGTGCATTTCGTGAATGTACCAAACGCTTTGAAACTTAATTTCTATGTATCTTCGTTGTTGGATAGACTATATTTTCATTGTATCTGGTATAAATATTATTACTTCCACTTGTCCAAAAATCCTACTGGGTAGCTCTTTTGGAAATCTACAAAGGAATAATAAGCTATAGATACTTTTAACATTAATGGTATTGAAATGAATAGAAATCGACAGAGGCGCTAGTGAGGACTCCGAACTTTGAGATTATATTGTGAAGAATTCTCCATAATTACATTTTGTCGGCCAGTGACTGTTTATTTAGACACATACATATTGGTACAAAGGGCACCAGATACACATGCGCCACACAAAATAATGAGAAGGGGAGGAGAAATGGGGAAGGTGCGTATGTATAAAGGAAGAAAAGAAGGGAAGAGTAACGGTGGGGGAAACTGAAATGCCCACAAATCACCCACCGGATAGTTTTGATCTTCCGTTTCCACTAGAGTTTAAGAAGACACAAGATGGAAGTTTGGGGGCCTAACATACCGTGATCCGCAAAAAATCTGAAAATTGGGGTGGCTGCTTCCTATTCCACGACAAAAGTGCCTCAAATGACTTTGTAAACAATCCCCACTGTGATATTTAAATGTATTGGGTTACCGCTATTTCATCTGGAATGTGCTTACACTTACATCAAAGTGAAATATACGAAGGTTACTATAGAGTTATTTATAACACATGTCGAATAAACGAAATTAACTATTTCAACTTTTTGGAAAGAATCTATTTTATTTTTAAATGCATTAATTACACGAGTAAAAATTAGACAAAGAAGTGGAAAATGCAACCTGAGAATATGTTTTAGGATAAAACTTAACAGGTGGAAATCAGAAAATGTGTAAAAAATAAGTGAGAAATATTGAATTACAGGGTATGTAGAAATGCAAACACCTACACGGTAGAAAAATAATTTTATTAAAAATATAATCTTATGAACAGAAATAAAACGCAGTAAAAGTAAATATATTTGGGAAAAATCTCATTTAAGACGTAAGTCGCCGAACATATTTGACAGTCCATTTTCAACATTATAATTTTCATCTGGAGATCTAGACAACCGATATTTTTCCAGTTCAGAATGCATTTTAGTTACTTTAATGGAAGAACAGTGTGGCAAGAGACGTTTATCATATTGTGCAGCTAAGCTGGGTCGAAGCATACGACCTTTGGGTGTATTAATGAGTAATTCAAACTTCGAACGACAATGACCACAAACCTATCAAAAGATAAGTACACCAAGAAAATATTTGAAATTAGTATTTAATTGGTTAATATGCACACAGCAACATTATCGGGTCTAGAAGCTTTCTTCCATGTACTCTTAATTAACTTCACTGAATTAAATTTAGGCAGCTAAACACTATAGATGTGTAGTGATGTTATATAGATGTTATAGTGAATAAAAATATCTTCAGAAAATCTCAATAATTATAATGTTGCTAGGGAAATAGAAATCTGAAATTTGGGTAGTTGTGTTTGTGATCAAATAGTTTATATATAGCTTTGATGAGTGCTTATCAGCTTTTTATGGAGCTGCTTCATAAACCTTTATCTTTTGTTATTCATATACTACAGTCAATTGTGAATAATGCTAATCAACTTGGTATCAGATATGTTCATATTATGTACATACTGAGATTTGAGGGTTTTAGTACATTAAAATTTTATCTGTTGCTTATGCAATCATGTGAGTTATGCATCTGATAAATTAAAGATACTGGTGACTACTCATTTGATCTTCTTGTGCTCTGATTATAGATTTATTAAAACTGGGTCTTGTGTGTTCAATCGATTGCACGGAAAATACAGTAATAAAGCTTGTGGCGTAGTGACGATTAGAACAGACATATACCACCATAAATGACAAATGCGTTTAGTGGAACTAGTCGATTCAAGAGTTCTTTGAAGTGTTGTACCCACCTGTTCCGTTGTTCTTCAATGTTGTTGATTACCTTGCCTTCCTTGATTTTCACTGGTCGTTCTGGTTTACGGTAATTTCCAGCAAGTTTCTTTGCTGTATCATACAATTGTCTCATGTTTCCTTCTCTTGCAGCTTTTTCTGCTGTCATTGCTAAATCTTCCATATATTTACGTTTGTCGGTTCTGATGCTCCTCTTCACTTGCTTGTTTGCTTTTGTGTATTCGACATGTACCTTGACTTTTTCTGCTCTTGTTCGGCTGGTATTGATTGCTGACTTCTTGTTCCTCCTTTCTTCAATCTTATCCAGTGTACCAACAGTGATCCATTCCTTGTGGTGGTGCTTCTTGTGACCTCCTCACATGTTGAAATGATTGCCTCTTTTATCCCTTCCCAGTTGCTCTCCATGGTAGTTCCCTGTCCATTGAGTAGATCATGAAAGACTTGGAACATATTGCTGAGGGCTATCTTGAATTCGTTGAGTCCATGTGGTTTTTTGAATGCGGTTGTGTGAGAATATAGTGCCGCCTATGACCAGTTTATTGAAGGCACATAGATTTGCAAATATCTCACCGTTTTCGTTCCTTTCTCGCAGTCCATGACGTCTTCGAACCCAGTGTTGGTCATTCCAATTTTAGCATTTAAATCTCCCATCAGAATGGTCAGGTCCTTTGTTGGGCATTTCTTGACGATTGACTGCAGCCTATCGTAGAATTGATCTTTAATATATTCATTGTGGTCGTTGGTAGGCGCATATCATTGGATGGCGTTCATTGTAATGCCCTCTTTCTTTGTTTTGAAGGAGGCTTTGATGATCCTGGGTCCATGAGATTCCCATCCTATAAGTGCATTTTGTGCTCGTTTGAACAGCATCAATGCAACTCCTTGTGTATGTGATGCATTTTCTTCTTCATTACCGGAGTAGATTAGTAGCTCTACTGAAGCTGGTATTTGTTGTCCAACCTGCGTCCAATGTGTTTCACTTATTCCAAGCACCTCCAGGTTGTATTTCCTCATTTCTGCGACAACTTGGAAGGTTCTTCCAGTCTCCCACGTTGTCCGGACGTTACATGTACCTATAAAAATTGTCGCTCTGGTTGTAAGAAGGTGCATCGGCCTCATGACTTCCGAAGGAACTCGGATTTCATCATGAGACGTCATAATTATTCCTTCAACTCCCTGGGCAGAGTTTAATTGGTTTGAATAATTTTTTCTGGTTAGCGTTTATTTAGCAACTCCACCTGTAGCTCCTCTGGGGGTTGCTGCCGGTCCCAAGCCCGGGTAAAGTAGGAGGGTTGGGCATGGGGTTAGCGACCCCATCCCGTAGAAAATCAACTCGCTAAAAAACGCTAACCAGAAAAAATCATTCAAACCTTTCAAACTCTGCCCTGGGAGTAGAAGGAATAATTATGACGTCTCATGATGAAATCCGAGTTCCTTCGGAAGTCATGAGGCCGATGCACCTTCTTACAACCAGAGCGACAATTTTTATAGGTACATGGAATGTCCGAACTATGTGGGAGACCGGAAGAGTTTTCCAAATTGCTGCAGAAATGAGAAAATACAACCTGGAGGTTCTTGGAATCAGCGAAACACATTGGACGCAGGTTGGACAACAACGACTGTCTTCAGGAGAACTTCTGTTATACTCCGGTCATGAAGAAGAAAATGCATCACATACACAAGGAGTTGCATTGATGCTGTCCAGAAAAGCAGAAAGTGCACTTATTGGATGGGAATCTCATGGACCAAAGATCATCAAAGCCTCCTTCAGAACAAAAAGAGAGGGCATTACAATGAACGTCATCCAATGATATGCGCCTACCAACGACCACAATGAATATATTAAAGATCAATTCTACGATAGGCTGCAGTCGATCTTCGAGAAGTGCCCAACCAAGGACCTGACCATTCTGATGGGAGATCTCAATGCTAAGGTTGGAAAGGACAACACTGGATACGAAGACGTCATGGGACAACATGGACTGGGAGAAAGGAACGAAAATGGTGAGAGATTTGCAAACCTATGTGCCTTCAATAAACTGGTCATAGGTGGCACCATATTCTCACACAAAAACATACACAAAGCCACTTGGATTTCACCGGATCACACTACACAGAATCAAATCGACCATATCTGCATCAACAAAAAGTTCAGGAGGACGATGGAGGATGTGAGAACCAGAAGAGGAGCTGATATAGCATCCGATCATCATTTGCTGGTCGCCAAGATGAAACTAAAACTCAAGAAGCAGTGGACAACATCACAAAAGTTTAATACGGCCTTTCTTCGAGATGCTGACAAACTCAACAAATTCAACATAGCCCTCAGCAACAGGTTCCAGGCCTTTCATGATCTACTCAATGGACAGGGAACTACCATGGAGAGCAACTGGAAAAGTATCAAGGAGGCAATCGTTTCAACATGTCAGGAGGTTCTGGGCCAAAAGAAGCACCATCACAAGGAATGGATCACTGTTGGTACACTGGATAAAATTGAAGAAAGAAGGAACAAGAAGGCAGCAATCAATATCAGCCGAACAAGAGCAGAAAAAGCCAAGGCACAAGCCGAATACACAGAGGCAAACAAGCAGAGGATTTGAAAGCGACCAACATGGTCTCGTGTGCAGTTAAGGGTATGAGGGCTTATTTCACTTCCCGGCTGCCCACACCGTGGAAGGGTATTTCTTGAGGGACCTGAAAAAGAAGTTGGATTGGTATTGGTCTTAACAACCTGGGAGCGTGACCGCAGTGCCCAAGGGACAACTGCTTGACGCCGGTCACGCACGGCCTTTTTCTGGGGGATTTTTGACGTGTTAGATACGTTCTTCAAACGTCCTTACCGCCGGAGACGGAAGTCCGTGGGATAAAGCGAGGTGTGCATTTTTAGGGCCAACCTTTTTTAACCCCACCCCTCCTTGTGGGAAGGCAGCACCGCTGTCATGCTGGTTGTCTGAAGGAAACACCTTACTGCCGTCACACCTCTGTACAGACAGCAGTACGACTTCGGACCTTGGGATTGCTGCTTTTAGTCTCACCGCTCTTCAACCGACCTGTCTGGCATGGTAGGACCTCGAGGAACGATTGTTCCAGCCAACATAGCTCGATTGGATCATCACGATAGGCAAGCCCGACCACCACGTCAAGGGAGCAGCAACGGTCGAGAGGCAAACAAGCAAGTGAAGAGGAGCATCAGAACCGACAAACGTGAATATGTGGAAGATTTAGCGGTGACAGCGGAAAAGGCTGCAAGAGAGGGAAACATGAGACAACTGTATGATACAACAAAGAAAGTTGCTGGAAATTACCGTAAACCAGAAAGACCAGTGAAAAACAAAGAAGGCAAAGTAATCACCGACATTGAAGAACAACGAAACAGGTGGGTACAACACTTCAAAGAACTCTTGAATCGACCAGCCCCACTGAACCCACCCAACATCGAAGCAGCACCCACAGACCTCCCAATCGATGTTGGCCCACCAACAATTGAAGAGATCAGCATGGCCATTAGACAAGTCAAGAGTGGCAAAGCAGCGGGACCAGACAACATCCCGGCAGAGGCACTGAAAGCAAATGTAGCAGCAACTGCCAAGATACTCCACATCCTCATCAGTAAGATTTGGGACGAAGAACAAGTACCAATAGACTGGAAAAAAGGACTTCTGATCAAAATACCAAAGAAAGGCGATCTTAGCAAGTGCGACAACTACAGGGGCATCACTCTCCTCTCAATACCAGGGAAAGTCTTCAACCGAGTATTGTTAAACAGGATGAAGGATTCCGTGGACGCCCAACTTCGAGATCAACAAGCTGGATTTCGTAAGGATAGATCGTGCACAGATCAAATCGCAACTCTACGTATCATTGTGGAACAATCAATCGAATGGAATTCATCACTCTACATCAACTTCATCGACTACGAGAAGGCATTTGATAGCGTGGACAGGACGACACTATGGAGGCTTCTTCGACACTACGGCGTGCCTGAGAATATAGTCAATATCATACGGAACTCCTATGATGGACTAAACTGCCAAATCGTCCACGGAGGACAACTCACCGACTCGTTTCAAGTAAAGACCGGTGTTAGGCAAGGTTGCTTACTCTCACCGTTTCTCTTTCTTCTGGTAATGGACTGGATCATGAAGACGTCAACGACTGGAGGAAATCACGGGATACAGTGGACAGGCAGGATGCAGCTTGACGATTTAGACTTCGCGGATGATCTGGCTCTTCTATCACAAACGCAACAACAAATGCAGGAGAAAACGACCAGTATAGCAGCAGTAAGTGAGTTA